ATATATCTGAAGACGAAAACATTTCCTATCCTCGAAAATCCGTTCAAAACATCAGAAGCATCAACGAAGGTCTTTAGCTGCTTGAAAAATACTGCTGTCTAGCATGCGTGTTGATCGCTTTGTATGCTATGACAACATCGTCCCTTTGCTTCAGACCCCGTCAATCCTGTCAATCCCAGGGACTGGTTCCTAAATCCCCTTGAATAAATTCTTCGACAGCCAGTGCTGAAGAGGTTTAATAAAGGGAAGGGCTGGAAAATAAACTAATTGGAGCTCCGCTTTTAAGCATCGCTAATCTGTATAATACTCTTCTTAGCCCTGTGCGTAAGAGACATTTGGAGTAAAGACGATAGGAACCAATTAAGTGTCCCTTTGTTGTCTGGTCCCGCTCCGCACCCCTCCTCCTCTATTACTTAACCTTGGACATCTGAAATGCCGTTGACGATCGATGATTATAAGTTACTGTTCCCTGTTGTGTTCAAGTTAGTTTCAATCTCTCATTTACTAGTTGGTCTGACTTTATTCGGGCTTTACCAGTTAGACCGAGGTTCAGCTCGAGACAAAGATTCATCTTATTTGGGTCTCTTCAAGCGCAGATATGTTTTTTTTTTATTATTATTTTTCAGCTCTTCTATCAATTAAAACATATTACGGTGTCAGTTGTCGATCACTCTTCCACTTTTATGCTAAAACAAAATACCTTAATACTGCGTAAAATTTCGTTTTCGAGTTATAAAGGAGATTATGTTAGAAAATAAATATTTTTTGACGCCCTTGATATCCGACCACAGGAAGTCGAAGTTCAAACAGTGAGCCTCCGTAAATATGCAGTTTTGTTTACGTTGTGCAATGGATGAAAGATAAGGATTTGCATGGAAATGAGCAGTCGCAATCTTAACCTTCTCTATGATCTGGACTATTTTATGATGGGGACAAATTTACGCCGCTCAAGTAGTTGTTCTTTTGTACCGTGCCAATTTCTTGGGCTGATTTTGGGCAGTTTAGCTGGGTTTTAGCTCCTTTGGTTTGCCCTTTACATAATCCTATAATCCTTTCCGAGACACGTCTGTGAGCAATGCCAACAAAACGAATTCACTAGCAGCAAAACGCTGTAAATTTGCTCCAGACACCCCGATTACCCCGAAATTCTACTATATCACGGGAGATGATGGTAATTAACGTTCTTGTTCCTCGTTCAAGGGTCGTGCTCAATGAAATGAAATTAACTGCCTTCAATTCCAGCCTAATGGTTTGCTGAGAGCCTTCGGATGAGGCTTCACACGGATCCTGCGGTACCCAAACCGTTAGAGCTTTCAAATTATGGTTCAAATATTAACGCTAGGGGCAGCTCACAGCTGATTGCTCCGTTTGACATTGTATAGTATTACCCTTATTCTGTGAATATCGCCGCAATTAAAGTTCGACGTCAATGACGATTACACATATTTCTCGTTTAAAGTATCCTTCTTTGTACTCGAAAGCGAACTTTCAAACAATGTTTACGTCTTTTTGTTTTAATAGTTTATCTCATTACTTTTCTTTTGCAAAATAAATTTGGATTCCGCCGGTTTCACAGGTTCCGCGATCTCCTGATCCACAATTTGGTAACATTCATGTTTTTCACCTCTTAGCACCCATACAATGAAAATATTATCTATGTCTGCCGAAATTAATGAAATAGACCATTTTGACCTCGTGCTCCATAACGCATGTAGGGATTATTTGCTATATATATCTGATACCTAGCACACGCTACCACACTCACGTTACAGAGTGAACCATGTAAGTCGATGGAGTTTTGAATGCCCTTCAAACAACATGCTTAAACATCTATTCCTCCCATCATCATATTGGTAAAGAGAGAGGTAAGTTTTTTATTTTACATTGACACCAAACACAGTTAGTTTATCCCATAGTTTTGTAGCGTTGAACTCACTGAATAATGCCTTGAATAGTGTTTAAGCCGCACAGAACAGTGGTTGAGAAATCGAAAGTGATGTGCGACCTAAACCAACCTTGGTAAGTCTATTGTCCCACAAGAACATGATTAGATTTTATTAAGGCATCTAAAATCTATTCCAAGATGATGGCTGCACTTAAGCGTCAACAAGAGACAAATTTCGGTGCTGTTGAGTTGTTAGCTTCCTGTTGACGCGGACCGCATAAGTAATAATTGCGGTTGGTGATGGAACTTTGTCAGTAGGTTGGAATTCATGTCGAGCCTGCAAAATGTTACAAACAAATTGTTTAAAGCGGCATGGGAAAAATCAGGTCTCTTTGAATAAGTATGTAAACGAATTTTATCAAAGATACCTTGACCGGTAAACCACAACAAAGGGTCAACTATTTTTAGGATTTAGATGACAAATTTCGAGTGTGTCGCGAAGCCGGTGATATCTTAAACTGTTGCTCGAGGCTTAAATGCTCTTTGTAGTATTAGTGAAACTTTATAACCTGCTAAAGACGAAGTAGTTCGCGGCGATTTCGAAGAACTGCAATAGCTTAGCACTTTCAAATGTTATGGAGGGGGTGGGGATATATGCACTCGCAGTCGTTTTCTCTTGACGAGCTTTCCGCCGGAAAAAAAAAAAACCTTTATGCAAATTAGCTGGCTTAGTACATTCTTCAGCATTTTGTGGAAAAGGATTATTTTACTTGGTTACTTCCAAATCCAGTTACCAAATTTCAAATAATATTTCTCGTCTTAAAATCTGCGTTGCTGCGTGAATCTAGCCTCTTATACCTGATACTTGAGCTCTGTATCGCGTCATGTTACCTATTGTATTCGTAAATACTTGAGTGTTTTATAATCCCACCGGCCAAATTTCGTTTCATTCAAGGATTTATCCTCAAGAGTAGAAAGCCATGCTATCAAAGCAAGTTTTTTGTTGTCACGTAAAATATATATGTATATATATATATATACCTTTTTTTCTTGAACACCTAAATTAAGATCTTATTTTTCATTGACACAAAAACATCACATTCGAACGTTTATCTACAGCTAGTTACGAACGCAGCGTCTGTTTTTTCGTCGGTTGAACTTTCAGATAACCAAGTACTTCTCGATCTTATTAGGCTTCAAAAGACAAAGATAGTTAACAGAATGGCAAAGTGTCCGTCAGCGGTGGTATGGCGAGTTTTTCTTGTGCTGGGCATGAACTGTATCATACAAGGCTTACTTGTTACTGGCACAAGTCTCGAGGGTGATATTATAGTAGATACAAACCTTACCTTAAATGCAACACCTTACTTGGTGTCAAAAGACCTCGTTGTAGCCGAAAATGCCACCCTAACCATACAGGCGGGAGTCCAACTGCACTTTGATCGTGGGGTGGCTTTTAGAATCAAAGGTTGCCTGCAAGCTATGGGAAACTTTCATAATCGAGTTGTTTTCACCAAAATGAAGAGGAACAACTCACAATATCTGGACGATTTGAAAGTCACATCTCCTTACCATAATGGAATTCGTCTTCACAACGGAAGCAGGTATACAGTTGGCCGACTGGAAATCTTCGTAAATGGACAGTGGGGAACTGTATGCAATGAAGGTTGGCAAATGGAGAATGCTCAGGTATTTCAAATGGATTTTATATGCACCTTTTTGGTTAAACAATTATTCGGTCTTTAATAAAGAAAGATGAATAAGTCTTTCTAGATTTGGAATGTGGAAGAAACAGGCCTTTCACATGCGAAATGTGCTTCCTTTATACGTAGGAAATTATTTGACATGTGCTATTTCATGAAGCTTAATTTTTCATTATTTAGTTAGTTAAGTATGCTTTAGTCATTCTTTTATATTCAGCTTGTAGTTATTATGTGAATGCGAAGTCTGAAGTTATTTAAGTTTAAGCAATTGCGATTAGTTTCCCAACGAGGTTGTCTTGTTCAACCTCCAGGTGGACGTGCTTCGTTTACTGACCTTGTTTTGGACCCAAACGAAAATCTTTGTTTTGGCTAAAGCATTCTGAGGTTTATTCGGTCTGTTTATCGGAAGCATTAAGTACGTTTCGTGCAAAAGTGTTTGGGTTAGTGTTCTGAAATTAATATTTAATCTCTCAAGATCAGCCAGCTAACATGCCTAACCATGCTGATCAATAGTGAATATATAAGCAGATACTATAGAGCTTACCTAGTAGAGAAAAGTAAACAAAGTGCAGAAGTGGGTAGAAAGAATTCAGCAAAACAAGTCAGTGAGAACTTGTGGAGATTAATCATAGCTAGCTTCAGACGACCAGAGTTACACTAAGATGTGAATTTTATGTATGTGGTATTGTGTATTGAAGAACTGAGAAACAACATACTTGGCGAATTACGTCCTAAAACTTTCCATTGTTTCAGTAATCCCAAAGTAGAGCTTAACTTTTGGAGGCTTTTTGTATTCTTTGGGCGGAATCCTAAATTATAATCATGGAATCTTTGTGCCGGTGCCAACCATGAGAACTTTTCAGTGCTGACCCCTGTGAAGGAATTATACAGTAAAACTAGTTTGCGTAAATGGATGAATTGATGTATAACCAAACTCCACCAGCCTTGTGAATAAAAAGCGATGAGTGGGTCACATTATTAACTTTTGTTTCGTTGAAATCCCTTGTTACATGAAAGACAAATTGCCTACATGCAGCTTGTGTATTAAGTGTGAGAGGGAAACAAGTTTGATTAATTTTTTATTTGTATATTCATGCAGAGAAATTATAGAAACCCTGACTTTGCTCCTGTCTGAGTTAAGGAATGCTATGATAGTTAATACTCAAAGTGCGCCTTTTACAAACCGAAAAATATGAATTGAAAACCAAAATTTTGATTAAAATCTGACGTCAAGAAACACAGGGTTGAGATCGGTAGTCGTCGAAAGATAGGCTCACGAAGACCTTTTCCTACTTTTAAGTTTCATTGAGGTTGTTACAGGAGAGTAAGGAGCATGCAAACTAAAAGAGAGTATCGCACAAACATAGCTAATAAAGTGTTTATTTTCTTATGAATTACAGGTTGCTTGCAGACAGTTGGGTTTTCTGGGAGCCAAACGATATTACACTCACGGTGGAGGTAATGGAGCCATTTGGCTCTCTCGAGTGGACTGCCAAGGAACCACGCATGAAACTACAAGTCTGTTGCAATGCAGGTACAGTGGGATTGGGAGACACTCTTGCAGTAAGTGGTACATGAAATAATCTTAAGATTGATATTTTCATTGTAAATTTATGCTTTATCTCTGCTATTTTGGTAAAAAGCATTTAGAAATATTGTCAAACGTTCAGAGTACAAAGTATTTTGAAGCAAGACATTTAAATACATGATGATATTGATATCATAATCTGTTTTCAAAAATCAGTGATGTTTTGGCAACTCAGGTCAAGCACGTATATTTAGTTCTGAGCGCATTGCAAAATGCCCATGTCGATAATCAAAACTTGATACTCGAAATTTCCGGCGGCTGAATTAAAAAAAAAAAAAAAAAAACCTTTTCGTTCATGCTAATATGTGAAAGTATACGTACAGGTATCCGTGCCCAGAAATTATAATATCAAAAATACAAAGATGATTTAAGCCAAAGACGTTGCAATTTGGTGTATTCCATTCCTCATTCCTGTTGCAAGATAAAGTGAATCCCTTTCATGCAGATCAAAATCCCCATACCTCACGATCCGTCCAGATATATAAGACAAAGGGTGGAGTTACGCTTAGAAAAGTACATCATCTTAATGATGGGTGAAACTTGACGGGAAAGCTCATTTCCTGAAGCCTGGTGCCTCTTGTATACAAGAGCAGGAAATCCAGTATCAAAATTGTGATAAGGGTTAGGATGTGTTCCGATGCATTGAAAACAGGTTGGTCACTTTCAATTAATAAAAAGGTTTTGATATAACGAGCGCTGTCATTGCTTAAAAGAGCATGTTTTATCAAATTAAAACCTCAGAGCTGAGCTGTGGCAAGATCTGAACTCTCGGGAATTGTTGTGACTTATATTATTATTATTATTATTATTATTATTCTTTGCTGGTGTTTTGCTCAGGATGTATGACAGATCTGCCAATGGGGTTTTCACTTATTGATTTAAGATTTATATATGACACGGCCAAGATTGATTGTTCTTTACTTGTGCCTGCCGAGGTTACAAGCAGGTCGCAGTTTGGTAGCTCTCATTGACAGATTCCCTCGCTGTTACAACAGCATTTTATATCAGTTTCTGGGAATATTAGATGTAAACAGTCGAGCGGTTTCTGTTGGCAGCAGTATTTTTGACTACTAGATGTAGTTTTAGATCTTCACAAGGCTTGTGACGTTTATATATAAATCTCCCTGGGGATAGAGATATGTAGTTGAAAGCGAAGGGGAAGATTGAACGATACCACAATATTCGAAACAGTGCATTCCGAAGTATTTGAAGTTTCTTTCATCAAGCGGCAGGACACGTTTGAAATATTCTGAAACACTGTCTTTCTTTCCTGGATGCATTCATTTGACGTTGAACCTTGGAAAAATTAAGGTTGTGAATTATTATAGAAATAAAATAATTTAAAAAAATAATTTAACTCGTTGTCAAGTTATTTTAGTTTTTTTTTCATGTTAGCTGCGTCGTTATCATTTACTCCATCAGCAAAATTGATTTTTTTGATTGTTTAAATCTAAACCATTTTCAAAACAACAGGATATTTAATAACATGGTAACCATTTTTGCTAGAAAAAAGGTATTTCACAAAATCTCTGTTAGCATTATTTTCTTCAACTTCAACACCATAAATCACAAAGTCACATTGTAATTCTTTTAGTGCATTTACTCGTCGATTATCATTGTTAAATTTTAATGCTAAATTTGTCGGTATTACCGATGTGTTTTCCATATGTAATAAACGATTTTTGTAACTAAAGTTAAATGTTTTAAAATCCTGAACGGATGATGAGTTTTTTACCATTTGTTATTGAAATGCAATGTTTAGTTTTTCATTAAAATAAGTTTTGTTATCACTCATTAATTGAATGAATAGTGTAAACTTTTGTATTTTATATTTTAAAATAGTGTGTATAAGTTTATATCAAGTGCACTGGTATAATTCTTATCAATTATTTTTTCTGCCAATAGCTCCACAGCTTTTTTCTTCAAATTATGAATTGAAATATTATAATCACCAAATGTTTCAGTTTTAATATTTAAAATTCATTCGTGGTTGATATATTATATGTTAAATAAAATTAGTGTAAATATGCCATTTTTTTAATGCCACATCCTACACATATTTTTAAAAATCATCTGTAATTATTTCTGGTACATTTGGATTTGATTCACTTAATTAAATGTTAAAAAAAGAGTTAACAATTCCTACTGAGTGAGTGTCAAATTTTCGTGTTGTCTGCCATCAACGTATTTTTTTACAACGTTTTCATCGCTATAAGTACTGTGGTTATGTTCAGGAATTATCAGTCTGCTCTTAAATGATTGTGCTAACGAACTATCTATTTTTCTGTTTTCAATATCGGTTAATTGAGTTAAATTAACTGCTTCATCATCATATTGTGCCTTTTTGGGGTTTGTTTTTGTTTTATCAGCTGTTTCCAATCTATCATCGTTTGATAAATTCATAAAGCTATCCTCAGCATATTCCTTTATTGCTGCATCATAATCAGCCATTGGTGTTTGAAAATTTATCATCTTGTTCTTGTTCATGTTCATGCTTAAAATTACCGTTTTTCTCGAGTATCTTTCATCAGCGTATCGCACATTGACTGCATGTTTTGTGTTCGATAGATCTTTCAAACCAATTATTTGTTTATGCAATAAATCTTATGTTTGTTTTCGAATGTAATATCTTGCATCAGCTCAGATGATTGTCTGTTCATTGCATCCGTTCCCGATGTTGCATTTTCAACTCTGAAATTTCTTCTTGGTTTGACATATTTATATCACCATCTACAATCTTTTTGCTCTTGTTTCATCTGCAACATTTTCAATCTTTTTTTTAAATATATATTGTATTTGTTGTATTTAAATTTAATGCATCATATTTCCGTTTGGTTGAATTGATGCTTTGTTATTAAATCACCAGGATTTACACAAGATTTTTGACCAAATTTTCATGAGAACTTGCCACAAGATTGAAACTATTAATAAAATCTATTCGATAGTATGAAACTCATATATATCTCAGTATTAGATGCTTTAACATACATTTAATATCTTTAAACTTATAAATTTCTTGCATGATAAAACGAAAATCATAACCACGCAGGCTATAAAAAACAATCGGTATTTTTATCGTTAAATTTCTAATTCAAGTTTCAATTAACAAGAGCTAGACCTCTTTACAGTCCTTTAAAATGACAATGATCTCTGTCTTCATCTTTTGACCTATGATGAAGCATACATAAAAAATATTTGTCTTTTCATAAGGTATTTTATGTTTTTCTCTCATTATAATCTCAATGTTTTGTCTGTTTTTTGTAAATCTTGATAAGAGTTTTCTCTTCGAATTGCCTCTGTTAATTGGTAAGTAGCATTTTCTTCTCTTTAAATCTTGACTTTTTTATGTATTTATCATCTTACCCACAAATAACTTTATTCCCATAACTATCTATTTTGTGTTTTTGAGTTTCATATACATGGCTCATAGTTTCATCTTTGTGTTGCACTTCACGTGGTATAATAGTGCTCTCAAAATCTGCATAAATAGCAAAAAGTGCAATCAGCTTCTTTTGATAACTCTTAAAGTCAACAAAATTAGTTGGTTGCGGTAAGTTAATAGCTTGTTTCCCATTAATCTCAATACAAACAAGTTTATTTTTATCACGTATTTCTTGTGCAGTGAAGTAATGAAGACAAAACATATAAAAGAATCTCTCACCATACTGTTTTGATTGTTTATAATTAAATCTATTAAAATCGTTAATATCAATATAATGACTGTTGCCTTGATAATCGGATATAAGCAATTGTTTCATTTCACTTTCAAACTGGTATTGATAAATATAAATAGGAAACACTTTTATTTTTATAACCAAGTACATCAATTGTTATATCATCATTTTTCTTTCTATTTTATTCATTCGACTAATTGTTACTAGAAAAGTATTGTCTGTATAATCAAGTTCCCCTCTTTTCTTTGTGGATCCATTAGTATTTCTTTTTTATAAACATTCTATAAATGATTATAATAAAAACACTTATTATAATTATTTTTAATAATCATAAGACCTATCATTGGATTCTTGAGTTCAATAAGCAAATCAATGTAAGATGAGCCTCTGTCGATCGTTTTGATTGGTTGATATTTCTGTTAAGAGGTAAGATGTTTATGTTAAGAATCCCTTAACCATTTCCATTAAATCTATTTGTGATTAAATCAATTATATCGCCACTAGCACGTGTGAATTCATTTAATAAAATTAAATTAATTTAAAAAAAATTCATTTTATTAAATCAATAACACTAACCTTTTGTCTTTATAATATCTTTTAAGGCACTTTCATCTATTTCAATGACTCTTTTGAATTCTTGTTAGGTTTTTCTTCAGTTTCAACAGCTTCATCTGCTTTATCAACTGTAATATCAGCAAATGCATATTAACTCAAAAAGTATTATTTCCTTTTTTCTGTTTCTTCTCCTATTCTTTTAGATTGTTCTACAGTAAACTGTTCTGTATGAAAATTTGAAACAATTTGTCTTGGCAAAGGTATTTGTTTTTTAAAGAAATTTTTGTTCTTGGTTAAGTTATTGCTTTTTTTCACTAAAAGGTTTGAGCACAAAGTGACAAGGATCAAGATATAAAACGCTGTGAATTGTTATTGCAAAAATTCAAACAAAAAATGGGTAACTTTTAGCTCAAGAAATAATCAGTTACCTGTTTTCACTATAAACCACTCAACTTCTTGGCTGCTTTCCTGACTTTCCAACACTCGAAGTCTCCTAAACTTCTTCCTTTGTGGACTTTCCTTGACCATCGCACTAATGGAAGCTGAAGCTGAAACATGAACATTAAATGTTTCTCTAGAAATATAATTTCCTTGAAAGAGAGACTTGAAAAAATTTTACTTTTACCGGGCACAAGCGTCGCAGAAAAGTTGTGTGGTATCACTGGCTGCAGCACTGTTTGCGATTGAAGCCGCTGCGAGACAGAAGTGCTTGAACATGCTGTCGACAGGAGGGTTGAAATTGCCAT